GCAAGCTGTTTAGCAGGTATACGGTTGCGACAACTGAAAACACTTACTTCACCATAAACGCCTGCTGAAGATCATATTTTGATATATATGGAATGAAACTGAATAAAACTCCGTTTTTTTGTTTAATTATTCAGTTGGACTTCCTTATAAAACTCCCTTTTTGACAGTTCATTTTGAAGGGTCCTCAGAGGATGGCATTTTCACCCAAATGCGGTACTCTGCACCGCTGACCTGCTGTTTTCTCGTATTTTACATTTTTCTTTTGACTCGTTTTACTCGGTCCCATTGAAAATAGAACTTGAGCACATATAGTTTCTGCAGGCAATGCCTCAAGCAGTCACTTACATTTGAAGGGGCCTATATTTTGTGGCAGACAAGTGAACTGAAACATATCGAAGAAGCTGAAAGTCATCTATATAGAGCTGCTGAGCCTAAGTGTGCCAATGTGCCTGTTGCTATGACAACTCTGTGCTGTTGCCAAAACACAGGCTGTTCACCACGAGTCATAACGATCTTTTTTTTTTTAAAATGTATTTCCTAAACATTCAGTTGAGTTTACCACGTATTTAGCCGCTAACTGTAAGAACGATGTTGACTCATGCATTCTATTAATTGTCATGTTTTTAAACGGGTTTAAACAGTTTTGTAAACTCTCTAACCAAATATTTTTCCAAAATATGTCAGTATTCAGTGTATCTCAGATTTTCTTGAATGTGTAAAAATTAGGAAGAAAAACTGGTTGACCTGTAATGCAAGGTATTATTCATACCTTCTGAAATATATGCAACTAATTAAAAAAAAAATAAAGACAATGTGTAATTAGAATGTAATAGAGGGTGGAGTATACAAAGTATACAAGACATATGTTTCATAAAACATATGTTTCATATGTTTACGGTCCCTTTAAGACCACTGAATGCTAACTTTTAAAATGCAACTGCAAAATTACAAACCCAGTTCATTGTTTGACTGCACTTTTAAGCATACAGACAACTTCCAAGTACTGAACATGTGTGTGAAAATGTGCTTTTGATGTTGTCCAAAAAAATTCACACGCTAGAGAAGGATGTTGTGATTTCTGCGGCAACAGTGCAGACCACTAACCAACAGTAAACCCTAGTCACTAGCCATATCTGCACTCATTAAACCTGAGTCAGAATTATACAGTGGCCTGTAGTGATGGCACATCCCAGCCTGATGGAAATAGTCACTTCAAAATAAAAGCGTGTTGAAGATCACTTTGAAGTGTACAGATGAATTTAAATATGGAATATGGAATATGAGTGTGAGAGAACTTCTTTTTGCTGTTGTTTGTTTACAAAAAGTGTGAGAATTTCTTTTGCTGTTGATTTTAAAATGCCTCATACTAGCATACTATGCCCTGACCCAAGTTCTAACCGCGGTTGCTGCGGCCACAACACAGAGTACTAACCACTATACGATCAAGGCAAGCAGTATCAGTTATGGTTAATAACCGCGGTTGCTGCGGCCACAACACAGAGTACTAACCACTATACGATCAAGGCAAGCAGTATCAGTTATGGTTAACAGACGAGGACCAAAACCATATCTGTGAATTACTATATTTTACTATATATAAAATGTTTTTCTGTGCCAAGCTATACTTGTCTGTATGTTAAGTGCAGTCTATAAAGTACTATATACAATGCATATATACAGTACACATGGGGATATAAACTTATTTAGGCTTCTACCAGCAAACAAAGAACATACTGTTTCCCATGAATTTGCCTTTCAAATGCTTACAGTCGCTTTAAGACCACATGACTATCATTTCAGTTGAATCATTATATTCATGGTTCCTTCTAGTTTGCGAGTATCCAGACAAATTCAGCTCTGAATATGGTGTGAATAACTTCTTTTTGCTGTTGTTTGTTTTTAAAAAGTCACGCATCTGAGTACCATGCCGTGACCCGGATTCGAACCGGGGTTGCTGCGGCCACAACGCAGAGTACTAACCACTATACGATCACGGCAAGCTAACCACTGTGGGTAGGTTGTCCCCTGAGTATGTCTGGCCATGCACCAGTATTGACAAAATAATGTAATAACCTGTGGTGATGTCACATTCATGGCAGATGAAAACAAAATACACAATAAAAGTACACTGAGAGTCATGCTGTAATATATATTTCAAACAGTTAACATCACAATAGTCTCCTCAGGGCATCATATAAAAGCCAACACTGACAATAAACCACTATATTTATGACAAGCCACCCGCCAATACTGTTTGAACGCACTAACATACTAGTGTTTCAGTTTAGTAGATAGGACGATATGCCAAATCCAGAAATATCCCTATATGGTACTTTATTTATAGTCCTGAATATTATCCTCACCTATTTGTTTGATTGTTACTATCATTAAAAAATGACACATACGGGGACACTGTGCTATGACCCAAAGTCACACTTGCATATCTGCAGCCACAACGCAGAGTGTTAACCACTATACAATCACAGCAAGCTAACTGCCATGGACGGGCCTATCTCCAGCTATGTCTGGCCCTGCATAACTACTAACTAACCACTATCCAATCACAGCAAGCTAACTACCATGGATGGGCCTATCTCCAGCTATGTCTGGCCCTGCATAACTGCTAACTAACCACTATCCAATCACAGCAAGCTAACAACCATGGATGGGCCTATCTCCAGCTATGTCTGGCCCTGCATAACTGCTAACTAACCACTATCCAATCACAGCAAGCCAACTACCAGTTGCCAGCATGTTGGTAACAGGTAAGGACCCAAATCATACCTGTGAGTTATTGTAGATTATGCAAATGTTTATCTGTGCAAGGCTATACTTGTCTAAATGTTAGGTACAGTATGTAAAGTACTATATACAATGCCTATATACAGTAACCATGGGGATTTAAAAGTGTTTAGGCTTCTACCAGCAAACAACAACCATAATGTTTGCAATGAATTTGCCTTTCAAATGTTTAGTTGCTTTCAGACCACAGGACCCTAATTTTTCAGTTGAATCATTATGATCATACTTCCTTCTAGTTCATCGGCTGACTTTTTTTGCACATATACAGACAAATTCAGCTACCGAATATGGTGTGAATAACTTCTTTTTGCTGTTGTTTGTTTTGGCCAAGCTATACTTGTCATATGTTAGTGCAGTCTATAAAATACTATATACAATGCCTATATACAAGTAAACATTGGGATTAAACTTATTTAGGCTTCTACTACAAACAAAGAACATACTGTTTCCCATGAAGTTTCAAAGACAAATTAAGCCACATGAACATTTCAGTTGAATCATTATAATGGTTCCTTCTAGTTTCGAGTATCCAGACAAATTCAGCTCTGAATATGGTGTGAATAACTTCTTTTTGCTGTTGTTTGTTTTAAAAAGCCACTCATCTGAGTACCATGCCGTGACCCAGTTGAACCGGGGTTGCTGCGCCAACGCAGAGTACTAACCACTATACGATCACGGCAAGCTGACCACTGTGGGTAGGTTGTCCCTGAGTATGTCTGGCCCTGCACCAGTATTGACAAAATAATGAGATAACCTGGTGGTGATGTCACATTCATGGCAGATGAAAACAAAATACACAATAAAAGCATACTGAGGGTCATGCTGCAATACATTTTTAATCACAGTTAACATCACAATAGTCTCCTCAGGGCATCATATAAAGCCAACACTGACAATAAACCACTATATTTATGACAAACCACCCGCCAATACTGTTTGAACGCACTAACATACTAGTGTTTCAGTTTAGTAGATAGGACGATATGCCAAATCCAGAAATATCCCTATATGTACTTTATTTATAGTCCTGAATATTATCCTCACCTATTTGTTTGATTGTTACTATCATTAAAAATGACACATCACGGGACACTGTGCTATGACCCAAAGTCACACTTGCATATCTGCAGCCACAACGCAGAGTGTTAGCCACTATACAATCACAGCAAGCTAACTGCCATGGACGGGCCTATCTCCAGCTATGTCACAGCCCTGCATAACTACTAACTAACCACTATCCAATCACAGCAAGCTAACTACCATGGATGGGCCTATCTCCAGCTATGTCTGGCCCTGCATAACTGCTAACTAACCACTATCCAATCACAGCAAGCTAACAACCATGGATGGGCCTATCTCCAGCTATGTCTGGCCCTGCATAACTGCTAACTAACCTATCCAATCACAGCAAGCCAACTACCAGTTGCCAGCATGTTGGTAACAGGTAAGGACCCAAATCATACCCTGTGAGTTATTGTAGATTATGCAAATGTTTATCTGTGCAAGCTATACTTGTCTAAATGTTAGGTACAGTATGTAAAGTACTATATACAATGCCTATATACAGTAACCATGGGGATTTAAAAGTGTTTAGGCTTCTACCAGCAAACAACAACCATAATGTTTGCAATGAATTTGCCTTTCAAATGTTTAGTTGCTTTCAGACCACAGGACCCTAATTTTTCAGTTGAATCATTATGATCATACTTCCTTCTAGTTCATCGGCTGACTTTTTTGCACATATACAGACAAATTCAGCTACCGAATATGGTGTGAATAACTTCTTTTTGCTGTTTTGTTTTTAAAAAGCCACTCTCCTGGATACCATGCCGTGACCGGATTCGAACCGGGGTTGCTGCGCCACAACGCAGAGTACTGACCACTATACGATCACGGCAAGCTGACCACCACATGCAGGTTGTCCCCCAGGTATGTCGTCATGACCAGTCAGCAAAATAATTAAACCATCCCACAGAATATTTTGATTGGTAAAAGTATCTCGGAAGTTATGACTTCATCGATATCCAACAGTTTCTCTCTCCCTCCACTTGTTTCTTCCTCTCCTCCACTCATTTCCTCCCGTCCTTTCCTCTACATACTCAGGGTAGTTGATGAGAGGTAGGAAATGGAGGAAACAAAGAGACGAGAAAAGTCCTGGAACACACCCTTTGTTTGAAAAAGCCAAAGCCATAGTACCCTGTCGTGACCCAGATTTCAACTTGGCATTGCTGTGGCCACAACGCAGAGTACTAACCACTATCCAATCACAGCAAGCTAACAACCATGGATGGGCCTATCTCCAGCTATGTCTGGCCCTGCATAACTGCTAACTAACCACTATCCAATCACAGCAAGCCAACTACCAGTTGCCAGCATGTTGGTAACAGGTAAGGACCAAAATCATACCTGTGAGTTATTGTAGATTATGCAAATGTTTATCTGTGCAAGGCTATACTTGTCTAAATGTTAGGTACAGTATGTAAAGTACTATATACAATGCCTATATACAGTAACCATGGGGATTTAAAAGTGTTTAGGCTTCTACCAGCAAACAACAACCATAATGTTTGCAATGAATTTGCCTTTCAAATGTTTAGTTGCTTTCAGACCACAGGACCCTAATTTTTCAGTTGAATCATTATGATCATACTTCCTTCTAGTTCATCGGCTGACTTTTTTTGCACATATACAGACAAATTCAGCTACCGAATATGGTGTGAATAACTTCTTTTTGCTGTTGTTTGTTTTTAAAAAGCCACTCTCCTGGATACCATGCCGTGACCCGGATTCGAACCGGGGTTGCTGCGGCCACAACGCAGAGTACTGACCACTATACGATCACGGCAAGCTGACCACCACATGCAGGTTGTCCCCCAGGTACGTCATGACCAGTCAGCTTAAACCATCCCACAGAATATTTTGATTGGTTTAGGTATCCTCGGAAGTTATGACTTCATCGATATCCAAGGTTTCTCCTCTCCTCCACTTGTTTCTTCCTCTCCTCCACTCATTTCCTCCCGTCCTTTCCTCTACATACTTCCAGGGTAGTTGATGAGAGGTAGGAGGGGAGTGGAGGAAACAAAGAGACGAGAAAAAGTACTGGAACACACCCTTTGTAAAAAGCCAAAGCCATAGTACCCTGTCGTGACCCAGATTTCAACCGGCATTGCTGTGGCCACAACGCAGAGTACTAACTACTGTACGATCGCAGCAAGCCAACTACCATGTATCGTCCTACCTCCAGCTATGTCTGGCCCTGCATAACTGCTAACTAACCACTATACGATCACAGCAAGCCAACTACCAGTTGCCAGCAAGGTTGAGGACCAAAATCATACCTGTGAATTACTGTATATTATACAAATGTTTTTCTGGGCCAAGCTATACTTGTCTATATGTTAGGCACAGTATGTAAAATACTATATACTATGCCTATATACAATAAACATTGGGATTTAAAAGTGTTTAGGCTACTACCTGACTGCGTTTGTGAGTATACAGACAAATTCAGCTACTGAACATGGTGTGAATAACTTCTTTTTGCTGTTGTTTGTTTTTTAAAAAGCCACTCATCTGAGTACCATGCCGTGACCCGGATTCGAACCGGGGTTGCTGCGGCCACAACGCAGAGTACTAACCACTATACGATCACGGCAAGCTGACCACCATGGGTAGGTTGTCCCCTGAGTATGTCTGGCCCTGCATTAGTATTGACAAAATAATGAGATAACCTGGTGTGATGTCACATTCATGGCAGATGAAAACAAAATACTTCACAATAAAAGCATACTGAGGGTCATACTGCAATACATTTTTAATCGCGCAACCACAATAGTCTCCTCAGGGCAATATCCCTATATCATCAGCTACTGACTACCTGAGGGAGAACTTCTTTTTTCTGTCATTTGTTTTTAAAAAGCCACTTGTTAGAGTAACATGCCGTGACCCGGATTCGAACCGGGGTTGCTGCGGCCACAACGCAGAGTACTAACCACTATACGATCACGGCAAACCGTTTACTAGACGGACAGCCATGGGTAATGAAAGTATTTACTTTTCAGTAAAAGCATGTTGAAGCTCATACATTGGTATATATTTCAAATGCTTGTCATAGCAATAGACCCCTTAGGGCAATACGCTAACACCAACACTGATTGCAACAAGCTATAGTTCTGTTGTGATATGTATTGAAGTATAATATAGTCAGCAATCAGATATTGCCTTGCTTGTTCTACATATCTCTGATTTTCCTTGAATTTGTAACATAAACCGGAAAATATAAAACTGGGTGAACTGGAAAATGTATCATTTATGACTGTTTCAATATGTGCAACCGGGCAACAGGCAACTACAGTCCTGAGCAGACCGCTTTGAGACCTCTTCAAATGTCCTATTCAGATTTAATATTTTCAATTCATCCAATAATAGATGATGAGTAATGATTATTGTTGTTAGATGAAATCATTATTTAAGGATCAAGTGTAATGAAAACATAACTGTTGGCTGAAAACTGATGACAGGCCACACTGAATTTTGAAAACCCTTCGCATGACGTTTTGGATATTTACTGTCCTTGGGGGAAACAAGTATTTACTACCCACAAAACACTGTATACTATACACAATACACTTGATTTCTTGTTTACAGTCCCTTTTAGGCCACCAGAACCTTCTAAGTTTAGAAATCGCCACACAGCCTCCTCGTTCTTTGTACAAGTGTTTTGAGGTATGCATAAAATTCAGATACGGAATATGTGTGTGAATTTCTTTCGCTGTTGGTCATTAAAATGTCTCACATTACATTACAGTACAATGCCGTGACCTGGGTTGGTACCACTGTTGCTTGGGCAACCACCATATGGTCACAGCAAGTCACTGGCCAATAGGGTCACAATACTGTAGTGACCTGTCGTTAAGTCATGTTCATGGAAAATGAAAACATTCGCTTCACAATAAAACCATGTTGAGCACATCGTAGTAGATACCTCAGTAATGTAAAATAGCAAGTCTCCGTAGAGCAGTATACGGACACCAACATTAACTGCAAAATACCAGTTTCACTATAACATTTATGGAGATATGGCACATCCAGAGATGTTCCTACACTGTACGTAATTCACATTTCTACCTTGCGTTATGGAGACTAATGGGCAAGGACCAAGATTAGACCTGTGACATACTGCTTATACAAACGTCTCTCCATGCCATGTTGTACTCGTCTATATTGACAGTGATATACACTAGATAATATTATGTAAAGTACCATACACTAAGCATATATACGGGTAAAAATGGTGATTTTAAAGTGTTTAGTACCTGAAAAACCTAGTATACAGTTTGCAATACACTTGCCTTTCTTATGTTAACAGTTACTTTTAGACCACAAGACCCAAACATTTCAAGATGCATCTGTATCATTATAAATGTTCATTATTCATTGCCCAACTAAATTGTCAGGAGTATGGACAAATTCAAATATGTAATTTATGCGCGAGGACTTCATTATTGTTCAAAAAAAATCGCCACACATCAGACAACCATGCCGTGACCCGGATTCGAACCGGGGTTGCTGCGGCCACAACGCAGAGTACTAACCACTATACGATCACGGCAAGCTATTCATCAGTGACAACGACGACTTTTCGTCTTGCCGCTCACATTAAAGATGAGAAAAATATTAGTGCTCTGTACTTATATTCCTAGGTAATGAAACCATTTATTTCGCAATGAGAGCATGTTGAGTGTCATATCGTTGTATAGGCCTATATTTTGAACGCTTGTCATAGCAATTCCCACCTTGGGGCATAATATTAGCAAAAACACTGATTGTTATATGCTACAGTTACCGTATAATATTTATGATGATATGGAAAATCCAGAAATGTCCCCATATTCTGCTTCAGTCACATCCCTTCCGTAGTCAGTTATGGATACAAACAGGTCAGGGCTAAGACCACACCTGTGACTTACTGTAGCTTAAATGTTTGTCTGTGCCAAATTTCAGTGCCATGTTTTCCTGTGTCGTATGTACAGTGCTAATCCATAGAAATGAAATCTTATTACATATACACTGAAAACATAAGTTTTGCCAAATGTATTTTTCATCACGTTTTCTGTATTATGTTGTAGCCATTTAGCAAAGGGGAGCGACTCCCAATGCGACACGTTCGCAAAAACATTTTCTATCCTGTTCAACCTCTCTTTTAAGCCATTAGTTCTTCACTTCCTACGCCTTTTACTGTGCTTCTCCTTTGCGCTCTAGAGATTCAATCTCGCTTTGCCTTCCCCCTCTCTCAGGAGAAGAAATTAGCCAACGCCCCTCTCTTCCTCCCTCCCAGTTCCAAGACGTGTTCGTAGTTGATCTGCCTCAGTAAGTAAAAAGAGAGGAAAAGACAAATATAGCGACTGGTCTGTCTTTTCTGTCCTTAACACCGGATACCACTGAAACTGCAATTTCGGGGATTTTGTTTTTCTTCGCGGGTAAAACAACGAGGAGGAAAGTTGCAACAAAGTTTCAATTTTATTACTCGTTTCGTGTTTAAGTTTCAACCATTTGGTGCGTTCTTTCGCACCGAATCTTCGAACGGAATACAAGCCAAACCTCTTAAATCTTAGCCAAAGTGTTCAAGCTCTCTCTTTGTAGGGGTTTGTAGCTTTCCCTAAACTCTTTTGCGAAGTTTACACATATTCGCCAGCATTCGGGCGCTCTGAGAAGTTTCAGCGGGCGGCATGGCAGACACCACAGAGACCGGGGGAGTTCTGCAGCAGCTCAAGAGCTATGTGACGACGCGGAAAGGGACGATTCTGGCCGCTGAAATAGTAAGCTTTACTACCTTCTTGTTTGAGATGTTCCGTTGTAGTTAATTATTTATTTATGTGACTTCTTGCTGGTGTAACTTAAGTTGTCATTGGTACCTACTTCCAGTATTAGTCTTAAAATAGAGAAAGCTAACGGTCGTGTTTCAGTTTTAACAGGGAGTTTAAGTGTACCTTTATTTTAAAATGATTGTGTTAAATTTAGTTTCTCGATTGTTTTACAGTTAAATTATACAGTTAAACCAGAGTCTCCATCAAGCCAGACAAAATATACCACAATAACAAAAAATTGTTAAAGACTTCCTTATATAGCTAGACAAGGTTATGAAATGTGCAAAATTCCTTTTTTTTCTGAGAAAATGTTCGGAGAGACGTCATACTTATGTGACGAATGAATGAATGCAGAACATTTAGATCCGCCTCTTATTCTGACATTATTTCACAGAGCTGAGATGA